TAACGCTACAGCCCATCTGTGCAAAACTGCAGTGGCATGCTAGCAGGGCAGTCACCGTGAAACACACTTAGCAGTGTTCATGCGAGGAGTGAAGTATTGGTACACCTTAACAAAAGCCAAGTCTCTGAAATCTGTACTAGAGCAGGTGCACTTGATAGAAGAAGTGGCACCTCAGTATATGCTTTGGACTAAATTTTCGTCAGTGCCACGTGATGGCAGAGAGGTTGAGAGACCTTGCCTCTGTAAGTACGAGAACAGTATGAAGTGTCAGATCCTGAGGGGCTTCTGTGTTATTCCACATGAAGTTTCTGTGATGTCCTAGACAGAAGTTACTATGTGTTTTACCTGTCAAATGATTTTAGATATGGTATTTTAAATAATTTTAAAATTTATATAGCTGTGATATTTCTGTTATCCAGAGGCTGATATAGCAAGCCTCTAAAATAAATTTCTAAAATACAATTAGAAATCCTCTCACAGAAAACATGTCGTCAAAAGGATGAGATGTCAAGTTTTTAACTTTTTTTTTCTTTCAAGTTAATTTCATTAGGAGTTTCTGTGAAATGTGTGGTAGATGTTAAGTTTTTTGTTTAGATGCAAGTTTACAAATGTGCTTTGTATGTCTGTGTGGATATATGTACATAATTAAATCCAGATTCAAGTAGTAAGTTAAAAGTAAGGTTTTTTTCTTGAAAGATGCAAAATAGTACAGAAATCTACTTTGTGAGAACTCTTCTTGGCCTCAAGTTTTTGGGGAGCGTTGGTGAACCAGAAGAAAAGCACTTGTGGCTCTGGGTAAGGCTGTATAGTTTTTGGAAAATAATTCTAAGCAAACATCCGACTTTTTTTTTGTTTGAACAGGCGGAGGCCTAATTGGCCGAAAGGGCTGCATAGGTGCTTTGGGAAGAACTGATACAATGATGTGTGCAGTGTATGGCTGGACTGAAGAGATGGCGTTCTCTGGAACTTCCACGGGGGATGTGTGTATTTGGAGAGATGTGTTTCTCATAAAAACTGTCAAAGCACATGATGGTCCTGTGTTCAGCATGCACGCATTGGAAAAAGTAAATAAACTGCTCATTGTTTTTTGATGTCTGGACAAAAAAAGTCTATGAAATTAGGCCTTTCCCAAACTCAGGAATCCATGACTTTATTTCCATTACAGAAAAGCCTTACGAGGTCGAGATTCAAAATAGTTTTATGCATGTCTCTAATTCTTGTTATGTAGCATGCTGTTTTTCAAACCTTTGTGGTCCCGTGACATTTTATTCAGTAATTTTCATGACCTCTTACAAAAGAAATAATAGTAACTTATGATAAGTAAAAGTTCTTTTTAATTTAAGCATCCATAGCTTTAATGGAATATGTGAGAATATGGAATATTGTGAGAGAGGAAGATAGTACTCTTACTATTTTGTGCTGTAATTACCGTCTACAAGTAAGAAGCATTCAATCTGTAGATCACTAAGTACTCTCTCCTGATTCTTCACTTCTTTTTGACTCAGGAAAGCCTTTAAGCATGTGCTTAAATGTGAATGGGTGTTCCAGTTAGATTACTTGAATGTTTGAGGTTATGTATATGTGTTTTGCTAGGTTAGACCAAATTACTCCACCTTCTCATATTTGAGTTTCAGTATAGTAGCTTTGGACAAAGCATGTGTTACTCGTATTGCAAGAACTAAGTTCTCCAAAGGAAAGTACTAATGATTTCAGTATTAAGTGTACCTGTTGCTTCATTAAATAGCTATAAATAATTTTTGAAGACCAAATAGCACAAATATGCATATATTTGAAAATATTAAGCACTAATAAATTTTTTTGAGTGGTACTAAGTTTGGCTTGGAGTAATGAGGTAAAATGTCAAAAGGATATTGAGGCTAAATATGAAGAAAAGCATCTTAGTATGCCAGTTGAATTATTTTTCTAGTGTGGTAGTAGCTTATTGCTTAGAACTTTTAAATCCAGCCTGTGTATATGGGCTGTACACAACTGTGCTGCCTTTGTCAGGAGGAGAATTCAATCATTTTGTTGCTCCTGATCCTTTCATCTCTGACATCTGTAGTTTTGTGCATTACAGTGTTGTGTATTGTCAGTATTGACAGAAATCACCGAAAAGTTAAGAAAAGATAATAATTGATTATAACTTGTGATTTTTGTCTTTGTCTTGTTTGTTTGTTTGTTTTTTGTTTTTCTTCCCCAGGGATTTGTCACTGGAGGAAAGGATGGAGTAGTAGCTCTCTGGGATGATACCTTTGAACGTTGTCTCAAAACCTATGCCATCAAAAGGGCTGCTTTGGCCCCTGGGTCTAAAGGTAACACAGACTTTATCCTATTTTTTATTCTATTTAAAATACTTTCTTTAGAAAACTCTTTATGTGGAATAGCTTTCCCCAATAGGAGAAAATCCACATTTGACATAATGAATATTAAAAATTACTTTTTTAAGGGTTTATTGATTCTAAATAAATAATCTTTCTGTTGGGAGGAGAATGGTATGTTGTAGTGTCTGCACATTTGGTGAGTGCAGATCGTAATATTTACCATAAGATCTCCCTGAATTTATTGATTTAACCTTGAGTCTGTTACCACCCAGGTGATTTTTTTTTTTTTTTTTCCCCAAAGTGGCAGCCAAAAAGCCTATTGTATTTCTAATCATGAAGTAACTTGTCTGATCTTTTTTGTTTGGAGGAGAAATGGAATTCAGAATTGTGGTTAGTTTTGAAAGGCATTAGTACATTTTATTACTTAATTTTCTGTAAATGCATATGTCTTTTGAAATGATTTAAGAACATTTTCATTCCTATTATTCCTATTTCTACTGTTTATTCTTGATCTTAGTGCTGTTTTTTGGTTTTTCCTATTTGACATTCTGGATAGCCTTTTCTCCCCACCTCTGCCCCTTAAAATTACATTTGCTGTGTTCTAATGTCTATGGTTTGATTTTCAAAAATCATGAATGGAAACACCCATTAACTAAAACATTCTACTACAGAGTATCTCATTCTGTATCTGTTTAATACAAAGCTAGTTTAGTTTTGGTACCTTCAATGTAGTAGTGTAATTGATACTTCACATGCACATTTCTTCAATAAGATTGCCAACGAGTCAGGCTGATTAAACTTCAGAGATACTCAGTTGAGAAAAAAGCTTGGTGCCAGTTGGGTAATTGCTAAATACTCTCAAATGAATCCAAATATGTAAATTCCTCCATGCAGGAATATGTTTTTACTCATTTACTGCTGAGTATCTTTTTCTACAGTGAGAATGTAATGTGCATATGTGTGAAAAATCCTCTTTAAGGCATACTTGAGAATCTTCTGTCTTCTAACATTTTCATGTTCTAGGTCTCCTCTTAGAAGATAATCCTTCTATACGTGCCATATCTTTAGGACATGGTCATATTTTAGTGGGTACAAAGAATGGTGAAATATTGGAGGTGGATAAAAGTGGACCAATAACTCTGCTGGTTCAGGTACATGTTAAATATCAGTCAAATGTTCCATACCACAAACACTATTTTATTTTTCAAAGACTGTTGTGAAATAACAAGCATTTTAATTACTAGTGAAGTTAGTGAGTGTTGTGGTTTAACCCCAGCGGATAACTAAGCACCACACAGCTGCTTGCTCACACCCCCTCTCCCCCCAGTGGGATGGGGAGAAGGATGGAAAAAACAAACTTGTGGGTTGAGATAAAGACAGTTTAATAGGATAACAAAGGAAGAGAGTAGCAATAATAATAGTAATAATAATAAAAAACCACAAGTGATAGACCAATGCAGTTGCTTACCACATGCAGAAGGAAAAAAATAACCATCCAATGTCTAGTCTGTTTCCAAACAATGATCCTGCCTCCCTGCTAGCTTCCCCAGTTATATCCGGAGCATGGCATTATATGGTATGGAATGGAATATCCCTTTGGCCAGTCTGGGCCAGGCTGTGCTCTCCCAGCTTCTTGTGCACCTGGCAGGGCGTGGGAAGCTGAAAATTCCTTGACTTGGTGCAAACACTACAACTACCTAGCAACAACTGAAAACACTGGTGTGTTATCAACATTGTTCTCATACTAAATCCAAAACACAGCACTATACCAGCCACTAGGAAGAAGATTAACTCCATCTCAGCCAAAACCAGGACAGCGAGTTACTATCACTTCATAGATTTTTTTAATGCTAGGCTAGACCATTATGACTCTTTGAGCAAAACAGATCACAGAATTTAATGTACTAATTTGTTCAACAAGTTCATCCTTTCAAACAGACCAAGATCATATTTCTGTTTAAAAAAAAAAAAAAAAAAGTGTGTGAAACAGTGGATCCTCCACCAAATTCCTATTAACTTTTTCTGAGTACTAATTACTCTTACTATTTTCAAAAGTTCTCCTTGATGTTTATTTTTAGTTTTTATTGGTAGTTATGTAAAAAACATTTTAGTTTTCTTCGCCATACCAAACAGACTGCATTTCCTAAGCCTGACTACAAAACAGATTGTTTTTACATTGTATCGTCATGTGATTTTCTTTCATAATTAAATACAAATCTGTGGATCTTTAATTCACGCTCCTGAGTGGCCAATGCAATATGTAAAGAGCTAGATTTTTTTAAAAAGAATATATTAGAATCTAAGGTAAATAAATAAAAAATCTAGATCATAGAACCATAGAATAGTTTGGGTTGGAAAGGACCTCCAAAGATCATTTAGTCCAACTCCCCTGTAATGAGCAGGGACATCTTCAACTAGATCAAGTTGCTCGGAGTCTTGTCAAACCTGACCTTGAATGGAGCATCTACCACCTCTCTGGGCAACCTGTGCCAGTGTCTCACCACCCTCATAGTAAAAATTTTTTTCCTTATTAGTCTGAATCTACCCTCCTTCATCTTAACGCCATAACCCCTCATCCTATCTCTCCACGCCCTTGTAAACAGTCCCTCTCCAGCTTTCTTGTAGGCTCCCTTCAGTACTGGAAGGCTGCAATAAGGTCTTCCTGGAACCTTCTCTTCTCCAGGCTGGACAACGCCAACTCTCTCAGCCTGTCCTCATAGGCAAGATGTTCTAGCCCTCTCATCATCTTCGTGGCCCTCTGGACTCGTTCCAACAGGTCCATTCTTATGTTGGGGCCTCAGAGCTGGATGCAGTAGCCCAGGTGGTGTCTCATGAGAGCACATCAGAGTAGAGGGCAAGAATCACCTCCCTTGACCTGCTGGTCACACTTCTTTTGATGCAGCCCAGGATATGATTGGCTTTCTGGGCTGTGAGCACACACGGTTGGCTCTTAATGAGCTTTTCATCCACCAACACCCCCAAGTCCTTCTCCCTGGGGCTGCTTTCGATCCCTTCATACCCCAGCCTGTATTGGTACCGGGGGTTGCCCTGACCCATGTGCAGGACCTTGCACTTTGCCTTGTTGAACCTCATGAGGTTCACATAGACCCACTTCTCAAGCTTGTCTTGGCATCCCATCCCTCAGGCATGTCGACCACACCACACAGCTTGGTGTCATTGGCAAATTTGCTGAGGGTGCACTCCATCCCACTGTCTATGTCATTGACAGATATATGTGAGGATTCTTTCGCAGGGAAAAGTTTTCCCTAGTACTAATTACTATAATTTGCACTTTTACCGTAATTAGCAGGCTGAGGGTTTTTTCAGGTGTTCAGTGTTTCTATTCAGATATTTCTTTATTGTCCTCTAAAGATATGCTTGTTCTTTCTGTTGGGTTTTTTTTTAACTTCCTTAAATGTGTTATTTCATATTTGAGGTTAAAATATGAAGTCATCTGATTCATTGTGTTTTTTCAGGGTCACATGGAGGGTGAAGTTTGGGGTCTAGCTACTCATCCTCATTTACCTATTTGTGCCACTGTAAGTGATGACAAAACCTTAAGAATATGGGATTTATCTCCTAGCCATTGTATGTTAGCTGTTCGCAAACTGAAGAAGGGTAAGATGCTTAGTATGAAAAAATATTTAACTGAATTCAGTTGACATTTACTAGCATTATGAATCTTTCAGAAACAAGACTGGATAAATTCCTTTCTTTGCTCAAATTATTTTATTGATGCTACGTTCATGAGTAATGTAGGCCTTAAGCTAATGAATCTGTAAGAAAGATTTCTATTTAATACTATTTTTAAGATTATTTGCAATAGTAACATATTTAAGTCAGTGAATTTACAATAAAAGCTGAGCCAATTACATAAATCTGCCATTTTGCTTATAGTATTGTAAGGTTTTTTTAAACAATGGAAAACTTGGAATCCAGAAATTTTTGGAAGAAATCTTAGAAGTAATGTTGGATTTCTCTTATTTGTGAATGTTAGAAGAATCTGGAATATCAAAGAAAGAGAACCGTTGTAAAATTCTTAATCATTTTACACTATATAAGTAAATTCTATTTTGACAGATGGAAAATCTGTTGTAAGTGATATCATATAAGAAGACTTTTTTTAGACTTAGACTAGACTGGCCTTAACAAGCTTTTAATGGTATTCCTTTGTCTAGTAAAGCATATATATAATAGGCTTTATCTGTTTGCCATTCAGTAAAGCATTTTGATCCCAACCTTACAGGAAGCTTAGTTGAAGATGATTTGGATTGCTAAAGTAAATGTAAGAAGAGTTACGAGCTTGCACAAGCAAGGATTGAACAAGAAAGTTTCAAGTCAGTGAAGCCTGATATTTAAGTCTTAAAGCTGATGTTTCTTAATATTTTTAAGAGTAGTTTTGGCAGAAAAATAAGGACTGTGATGATTTAATTTGCTGATGAGACCCATTTTGAGATGCTTTGATGATCTTAAAAAGCACCTTTGTACTGTACAGAAAGAGCTGGGTACTTCTGCAGATGGCAGTAGTGGCAAGGAGATACTTTGTAATTGAAAAAGGCAAGACTCGATGACTGTAAGAAAAATGTCTGTGTAGCCAAGGAGTAACTGAGGAGCAGAAGGCTCAGGATCTTCTGGCTTATCACAGGATGACAATTACATGTGATAGTGAGGTATTTTTGCCAGGACATACTGAAATATTCCTGTAATTTAGAAGAGACTAATCAGAATATTTTTGGTGTGCAATTCTCATCTGTGTTCAGATGAACAAAATTAAACTGAAAGTTGAGTATGGAGAAAGAGTGCTACAGAATAATGAATGAGAAGCTTTGTGGTGGAGTCAGCTAAATAAAGGATTACTGTCTACAAGTTAATCAGAGGAACAAGTAATAGGGAAAAATATTTAAGCTAATGGAAAATTCTGGCATGGAAACAGAACTATATAAGCTGACCACAAATAAATTTAGATTGGAATTTAAACTGTTTTTCAAATGAAACTTGACATGTTTATTAAAAGGATTATGACATAGTGACCATGATAGCAAATGACTGGATTCTGGGAGTCCAGAAGGTCTTTTCAGCTGTGTTTTCCTTACCAGAGTAAATGGTAACAAACAACTGGCACCAGATACTAAGGAGACCAAATTAAAAATATATAGACAATAGTGATTAATTTGTATTACTAATGTAGAATGTATGTCAATTAATATGCAAATAAACATAATCTAAGATTCTGGGGTTGTGTACTTGCTGATTTGCCAGTAGGTTCTGTGTGCTATCACAGATGTAGAGCTTGGAAATGATCTTGGCAGCATCTAACAAATTTCATTAGACTATAAACTATAAGAATAGCTTTCCTTTACTACTGGAAAAATAAATCTAAAAGAGAGACTATGCACTGTAAATGTACCTGAAGGCCGTTTCTGTATTCCTTATAGGAGGTAGATGTTGCTGCTTTTCTCCTGATGGAAAAGCATTAGCCGTTGGTCTCAATGATGGAAGTTTTTTGATAGTTAATGCAGATACCCTGGAGGATCTAGTCTCTTTCCAGCACAGGAAAGATGTTATTTCAGAGATCCGATTTTCTCCTGGTAAGTGATTTAAAATGAAGATTTTTATATCAAGGTTGTTCAAGCAAGCTTTATAACCTTTAAAGATAAATGAAGCAGAGATTTGTAGTACTCTTTTACATGTAACAAATAAGTCAGCAAGACTAATACTAACATTTTGAAAAATATTGGATGTGTTGTCCTATGTTGCTCATTTAAGGATGAGATTATTGGAATAGGTTTTCTCATAGTAACCACCCAAGTGCAACAGTCAATTTTAAATCATAAGCATCCAGTAGCCTCCCTAGGTCCCTAGGGTTCCACTTTTTGAGCTGCATAAGTTTGGCTCTTCACTGAGGTTACTGTTAGCTAATGAAAATGCTTGAAACTGATGTGTCAGAAAGTTCTGGTGTCTTCTTTTTTTTCTTCTGTTTCTCTCTACAGTGCTTAGCACTCCCAGTGAGGCTAGTGGGGTTTGTTGTTGTTGTTGTTCTGGGGTTTTTTTTTGGTTTTTTTTTTTTTTTTTTTTTTTTCTTCAAACAGTACAGCTCTTGTTTAGGAACTCAAATATATGGCCTAAAGTAATAATACTACTTCAGTGAAAATAATCTTCTGTAGGAGAAATTTGATGCAAATTAGTGGTACCAGTTCTCACGCAACATTACTTTCTGGTTACCTAAGCCTTACCACTCTGAGTGCAATAAATTTTTAAAATGTCATAAAGTAGTTTTTATTGTTTGAAGATGTAATGATTGTGTATTTTATACTGATTTTGATTATGTGATATGAACATTACCCTGTCAGGGACTGTATACATTAGCAAGGTCATTACAAAGAAATCTGGGTTGCATATAAGTAAGATCCAGAATGTACTTGTGTTTAATATACAGAGCTCTACAATTTTTGAAAATGTCTTGTGTTTCTACTGATGTGTTTTAGGGGCTGGAAAGTACTTAGCTGTGGCATCCTGTGACAACTTCGTAGATATTTACAATGTAATGAGCAGTAAACGAGTAGGAATCTGCAAGGGAGCCTCCAGCTATATCACACATATGGACTGGGACATAAGAGGTAAGTAGCATTCATTTCAAAAAACCTACTGGAAGATTGATAGACTAAATACAGTACATCTACAGTATGAATTTATGGTATCACTGACAGATTTGTTTCTTCAGTTTATGAATATGCTCACAGCATCTGAATAAATATAAACCCATAATTTTTGCTACTGTTTATATATTTAGAAGTTGTGTAATTCGAAGTAAAATAGATTATCTCTATGGATTGGTTTGGGGTTTGGTTTTTTACATCTCCTGTGTTTATTGTGTGACTTCTTGAATTATATACTGCATAATTCAGTTGCATCTGTAGTTCAGGAATATATATCCTTGTTGTCAAAAATAGCAGAAAGACTGGATTTCCTGTCTTCCTGGGTCTTAGTACGTGATTAATTTAAACATTAACTACAGTCCTGTTTCATACAAAACCAAGACAGTGCAACTGTGCAATCTGTTAGTTCCTGCTCTTATTCCTCTACATAATCACTTTTGAAACAGTCCAATTTAATTTGAAAAAGTGTTATAAGTTAGCTTCTTCTGAGGATTTTGAAAACGAGAAGAGGACAGAAGCACTAATGAGAATTTCCCTCAGAAAAAAGGTAGTATAAAGGCAAGCAGAAGTCAGCTGCTTGGAAGCGGCCATTGGCCAGGCAGCATACATGCTTCTCAATCCCAAGAGCACATGCATACTGGGCAGCCAGTTGTCACAAACAAGCTCTGAATTAGAGTACATTTTGTCTACCATCTGATGAAACGACCATAAATGGGAGAGAAAAGTGATGCGTTATTACAGTTTTCAAAGAGAGGAGGGGGAGGACTGTGAATTTAAGGAGTCAGAGGACTTGGATCTTCAGAAGCCCATACTTCCAGATCCACTGTTTATGTATGCAACTTTTTCCAATGGAATCAAATAATTTGTGCAGTGCTGTTAGGAACAAAAATTTCAAAATAACCTTTTTTTTTTTTTCCTTTTCTTGTAAAATGGAATCTTTTATTTAATGTTAATATACAATATGTTTTATAGGGAAGCTCTTGCAAGTCAACACTGGTGCTAAAGAGCAGTTGTTTTTTGAAGCTCCTCGTGGGAAAAAACAGACAATTCCTAGTTTGGAGGTAAGGAAATAGACTGCCTTCTTAACTTGTTTGCGAATTAGTTACAATACAATCACTTAAGAGGGAATGATGTATAAAACTATAATTTTAACTGGTCTATTGAAAAAGCTTCTGTTTAGGCCTTTGCTGTCTCCTTTTTTGCAGCCTGTTCAATTAGATATTTAATCAGAATGATAAAATACATAGGGGATATCACATTTATCTCTTCTGTTAAGAAACGGATATTTGGCTTATTTGCCCGCTCATGAAAATCTCTCTGGACTTGTGTATGCCTCTTTTGGTACCTAAACACCTTTGGAAACCTATTGCAGATTACTTAGCCCTACCCTTGCTGTGGAAGACTCATGTCCATCTTTACATAACAATGCAATATAGTATACATAATATACATAGGCAAGTGTAGTATATTGTAGCTATAATATGGATTTGTTTTCTCTTACACAGCATTGTCATAGGGCAGAGAGTGAAAGTGGATAATTTTCAAATCATATTTTCTATGAGATTGAAAGGCAGTGTTGAAAAATGTAATTTGTTTTCTCCAGCCTGGAAGGGCAGGTGACGTCAAATTTTGTAAAATACTGCTAGAGGTTTTGAAACTGGAACTTAACAGAGGTAAAATTAAGGGTCTCGAATGAAATTCTGAATAGTCAGAAAGTGGTTGATATGTTAAAATATTATCTTTTAGATGTGACTTATCTTTCAGTGCAAGAACTTTTTCTTGAAATCAGATATGGAAGAAAACTGCCTGGGAAGAAGCATGCTCTGTCTCAAACAGGTTGTTTTTGTAGGTAGAAAAGATTGGCTGGGCATCATGGACAAGTGTTTTGGGCTCTTGCTGTGAAGGCATCTGGCCAATAATTGGTGAAGTCACAGACGTAACTGCTTCATGCCTCACTAGTGATAGTAAAGTATTAGCCACAGGAGATGATTTTGGATTTGTGAAACTGTTTCGATACCCTGCTAAAGTAAGTAATTTTCAGCTGTTAATGGAGAAGATTGCTTAAGAAAACTGCAGTTTCGAAACTGTAATAATTTATCACTCAGAAGAAAATAGTGCCTTTATACTTTTGTCCTTATGATCAAAGAAGGCATTCGATATTAGACTGCAATTTCCAATGCATTAAACTTTCAGTTAGTAAGAATGACCATTCCAGGTCAGACTAAAGAGCCATCTCATGTAGTGTCCTATCACTGACAGTGGCAATTGCATAGGAAAAGCTTTAAGAATGGGAATGGGCCAGGCACTGTCTAATAATATCTTAGGCATTAATATCCTCAGTGTGGTTTTTAATTGTGTCAGGTTTAGCCCCTTAAGCTCTTGTTGTGGAAAACAATGAGCATTTCTTCCTGACCTTCATTCCACTCATGATTTTATAGACCTTCATTCTGTCCAACCTCACTCATTTTTCTCTAAGATGAAAAGCTTTAATATTATTTAATCATGCATCATAGAAAAGCCATTCCAGAAGCACATTATACTTTTACTGCTCTTCTAGAACCTTTCTAGTTTTCCTGTATATTTATCAGTAAATATGTCTTCAATTTTGAATATTTTGCCATGCTAGGGATGGTAACAATGCACAAGTATTGACTCAAAATATTCTGTGTGCATTTTATTCTTAATCTGTTAGAATATTTTCTCTCTTAGGAAAAATGATCCAGTGTTTATTGCTGCAATCTGTTTATAAATAAGTTCTTGCATGCTTGCTATGGAAATATGGTTAACATTTCATGAAGCTGCTATAGGAGAGGAACTTTGCAAATCATGTAACACATACAAATGCAAAACGGCTAAAGCATGAACTATAAAGAAGTTATGAATGTGGTGTTGTACACTGGCAACTCATTTCAGTTTTATCTAGCAGACTGGTTAAATTTGATCTGTGCCTCTTCCTCTCCCTTCACAGGGAAAGTTTGGAAAATTTAAGAGGTATGTTGCTCACAGTACCCATGTAACAAATGTCCGTTGGACCTGTGACGACAGTTTGTTGGTCACTGTTGGAGGAGCAGACACCTCTTTAATGCTGTGGACTTACGAGATGGAAGGACATCGGGATAGCAGGCAATGCGACAGTGAAGAGTCTGATCTAGATTCTGAAGAAGATGGAGGTCAGTAATAATTTATAAAACTAGCTGGATTATTTTATCTCAAGAAGACTTCACTAATGGAGAACTGCTCACTCCTAGTTACAGGACAAGGGGTAATGACCTTAAGCTGAAGGAAAGTAGATTTAGATTAGATGTTAGGAAGAAATTCTTCACTATGAGGGTGGTAAGGCACTGGAACAGGTTGCCCAGAGAAGTTGTGGATGCCCCCTCCCCAGAAGTGTTCAAGGCCAGGTTGGATGGGGCTTTTGGCAACCTGGTCTAGTGGTGGGTGTTCCTGCCCATGGAACTAGATGATCTTTGAGGTCTCTTCCAACTCAAACCATTCTGTGATTCTATGATAATTTAGAAATAATCAAGTTTTATATAGGATTAAAACAATCTTAACTAGTGAAGATGCTTCAGAAATGTTAAGTAAAATTTCTTTTGGGGGAAGAGATTGATAAACTGTTGTGAAGAAAACAATAATGAAGTGTTTGACTTACTGCTTTGAGTAAGAGTATAAAAAAATACTAAGTGCCAATTATAGATAACTTCCAAAAATCTATATAGAAAAATAGATTCATCACAGTTTAGATTTGGGCACTAATTCTAATGGAATTGTGTTGAAATCTGTACATCAGGTCATAGTTATCTTGACGTTATAGCATCTGTTTCCATAATATGAAAGCTAGTAGACTGAGGTAGACTGATGTTCATATTTAGAACAATCTATTGCAAGATCATAATATTAATAGTTATAAAGTGTTAATTACATTTCGTAGATTCTGTTGGTTTTGCCATACTTGATGTTTTCCTTTTCATGGTGCAATTTCAAGGGTTCATGAGCCTCCAAACTTGTCCTCTCTGCTCCCAAGTGCAATTTTTCCTCCTTATAAATTCCTCCGTCTTCCAGCATTTTTAAACTATTGCTGCTGCTCTTTAAATAGTTCTGTGTAACAAATTAACTTCACTTTTCACTAAAATCCTCTAAATGACCAAAGAGACACTTTAAATATTCAAGGCATATTAAACGTTCATTGGAGGAGAATTTTTATGCACTGTCTTTGTGCTTAAAATTATTGAAGACTACATCCGCAAAATAATTTAGTTGCCTAAAGAGGGACTTGGTCAACTTTAGCTTTCTGAATCAAAAATTGCAATCTTCACAGTTTTTGTTCAGCTCCTGCCTGTGACCTGTTAGCACATCTTTGCCGAATAACCTTCCCTAACCTCTGGTGATTTACACAGAATCCTCTTAAGCTATGTGTTCAAAAATACTCTAAAAGAAAGAGAGGTCTGTTAAGCTTTACCAGAAAAGACACTGACATCTTTTTCCACAAAAGTTTCTCTTCATCAAGTCCTATTAATTTCAGTTAAGGTCTGTTCATAAAGTTGGCATTAGTAGTCTCAATCTATGGAGGAAAAAAAAAGAAAAGGGGGAGGGTAAGTAACAACCTTGTCACTATTTAGCTTTTTTGCCACATTTACTATAGTAAACATCATCTTGGTGTACCTGACTGTCTCTAAGCATTGTGTAAGAACTGTGTGCAGACCTATAGATTCCATCCTAATGGATGGATCCTGAAATTGAGAACAACCTGACACTAAATCTTCCAGAATTTAACAGCAGGTGTCATGTAGTGAGGTCATTTCTTAGTGACCCTGAGTTAAGGCCAACCAAGCAGAAATGGGGTAGCTCTGAATGTCCCTTGAATCTTTGTTAACCATTTTTTCCACAAAGATATTGTACAGAATGTTTTTCGTAGAATGTCTTTTATTAACAATGTTCGTGATTCCCAGCTACTTGCTTTCTGTTGTGTGTTTATGTTACTAATAATACATGGTGTAATTGTTCTTGTAGTCCAGTACATTGTTGAAACCTGCGCGCATTATGGTTTAATTTTTTTTCCTGGTATCTTATTTTGTTTTGATACTGTTCACTCTGATTTCGGTAGGTTATGACAGTGATGTGACAAGGGAAAATGAAATTAATTACACCATCAAAGCCTTATCAACAAACATTAGACCAATGTTTGGAATTAAGCCTCATCTGCAACAAAAGGAGCCAACCTTAGATGAAAGGTAATTGCTAAATTACAATTCTAGCCAAGAAGGCAATCTGAAAAGATGGTTAATTAATAGTAAAACGTAATTATATTGGTGTACATATATACAACTTAAGAGGATATGTATAAAAAGAGTGGAAATATTTCTCTGGAACAAAAAAAACCAACAATACAACTTAAGAAAAGTCATGCCTAAGGACTAGGTTGTATTTCTTTTTCAGTTAGCACAAAAGACTGCAAATGATAAATGTTTATTATTATGTTTGGGGAGCTACTTGAGATAATTATGTTATTTGCTGGTGTTTAATAATATGTCCTTTTTAAAACTTAAATACAAAGTGCTATCTAGTGATGGCATTATAGGCATGTACCCATACAATTGTTTTATTGACAGCTCTCAGTTTTTTGTTTTTGCCAACAGACTGATTAATTCAGCTGTAATTGCTTCTTGCATTGTTTCTGTCTCCAGAAAACTTCTACCTTTCTTTGAAAAATTCTGTACACAGTGGTTCTGCAGTTTGTATTAATGAGTCTTGGAAAATGAAGCTGATTGCTTTGCAGTGTTAGTTGTACTGCTTGGTTCACTACTGTATGCTTTAGAAGAGAAAGGGGTGGGCAGCAGAGCAAACTAAGAGCAGCAGGTAAGGTAGATGTGAAATAAGAAAAAGAAGTTGTAACCACTAGAACATAAACTGTTATAGAATCTGCAACCGAGCACAGGACCCTGAAAGTTGTTGTTTGTTGTCAGCAAAATAGATGTGGACAGTGTATGTGAGGGAAAAGGAAAGAGGGATTCCTAACACAATCTGGTGGCAGTTGAGGAATGCTAGTATTAAAGAGAGGGAAGTAGGAAAACACAACACAGTATAATTAGGTGTAAGGATATGGGGGAATAGGAGATCAGAAACTTCCTGCAGTAATGTGAGGACTCCTGTTATGATGCACATGCCTCTTTCCACAGTGAAGCTGACAGATCTGTGATGCACTTGTTGAGAAATGCAGCCTGACGGTAGTGGGAGTTTTGGTGTCATCTTTTGGTTTTAAGTCATGTTGCTGAAGGAGAGAAAGTATGCCAGTGTATAAAGCTGTGGCTCCCTGTCTTGCATTTAAAATGAGAAATGGTCATTTTATGAGAATGTGGCTCCCTGTCTTGCATTTAAAATGAGAAATGGTCATTTAAAATGAGAAATGGTCTATTTACTAGTTAGATGTCTTTGATGTGGAAATCAAAAAAGAAATAATGATGTGCATGGTATCAACATTTTGGATTTATATTTACTCTTGTTAATGAAAGCTATGATTAAGATTATTTTTCTTTAAATTGTAAACCTCTCATTTCTTTCAATAATTGTTTCTGGAAGCTGAGTTGTGTTTTTCAGTTTCAAATAAAATATTAAAGAAAATTAATTCTGTAGTAAGGTAACTAGGTTCTGATTCAGAATGCATAAAAGATCATGGAAGAATTAAATTTCCTGCATTGTTGAAACATTTGGCACCCTAAAACTTCAAAAAAAAAGTTTTTATGAAGAATAAAACCAGAATATGGTTACTGTATGCATTTTAACTTCTGTTCTGTTGAAGTTAATACTGTGTAAGATTGGTAAGTGTTTTAGTAAGTCTGCTTTCACAGATACTAATTTTTATTTTCTTTTTATTTCCCTTTCCTTTTGCTTCCTATGAAGGCAGGGGGTAGTGAGGTAAGTTCATTTACACAAAGTCCAGGATCAAATGCATTTTAATAACTTAAGCTGCTTGAGAAAGTAGTTATACTTTGAAATAGAAGTGAAGACTAACTCTTTACTGTTAAATAGTAGCCTGTTAATGGGTAGAAAAGGGATCAGGGACAAAGAATAAGCCCAGTTCTCAGTCTGAGTAGACTTGAGTGGGTGCTAAATACAGTATTTGGGAGGAGGTCATCAAAACTCATCCTCTTTTCCTCAATACTTTAGAGCGGCTAAGGAACAGCTTGACTTAAGTACCTTATCGTCAGAGCTTAACTTCTTGTGGACTTCTCTAAGACCATATCACAGTGTTGGTGTAGAGGTCCAACATGGAATAAAAAGTGCAGGAAGCACATTGCAGAGATGCCTGAAGTAGCTGTACAAAGCAGTATCACCATGTTTGCACCACTGTGAAGCTAATAAAGCTTCAGGGATGAGAGGAGCCTTACTGACTTGGCTGCAGCATTTTACCAATGCACCTATACTTTGAGCTTCTAGGTCCACATAAGATTCATATGACATACAAAATCACTAGCTTAGGTGCCTGCATTAGGTAATGAGGTTTTGCACATACTTTATTTAGAATATACACATACTCAAAACCATGCTTTTACATTTGAGCACGACAAATCCTTAGGCCACCCTTCAGACCTGTAGTCTGAGCTGCCAGGACACTTGACCTACACCCGTTAAGAAAGGAGAACACCACTCATACCTACCTGGACCCTGTTTCCCCAAGGAGATCACATCCCTGTGGTGACAGATTCACAGACCAATAGAGGTTGGAAGGAATGTATGGAGATCACCTAGTCCCACCCCCCCGCTAGAGCAGGATCACCTAGAGTACGTTGCACGGGATGGCGTCCAGGCGGGTTTTTAATATCTCCAGAGAAAGATGATAGAATTGTGTTAATCTCTGTGTATCCTTCTGCAGACAACTTGTCATAATCAAGAAAATTACTGTCTTCATCTAAATTTTAGGTCATACCACTAGCAACCTTTATCAAATTAATTCCTGTTTTAAGCCTTTAAAAAAAATGTGTATCTGTAAAATCAGTGTTTCTGTATAAGTTACACAGAGCGTGTATAACTTACACAGATTTACCTTCTGTGTTCATTCATTTACAGGGTATTTGGGTATACTACTCAGAGTGTGGGTAGTACATCTGTGCCATTCCATGTTATGCGTAGGTTTGTTATATTGACTGGCAAACATTAGAAGAGATCTGTTTCTTGTAGTAACACTTTACTGGAATCCTTGTAGTCTCAGGATGACAGGTACATACCAGTGTAGAATGTGCTTCTGAGAATGTCTTTCAAGTAATTTTGACTTTGATTCACTAAAATTTTGATCTCACCTTTTATGTTATAAGTAGTAGGATGACATAGGAAATCAGAGGCCACTTAATGTATTAAAATTTCATGCATCACTAGGTGGGTCAAAACAGTGTCACTCCTTTTTGCTAAAGCTCTGCAGAAAGGAATGAAAGAATCCCTAGGGTCAGAAAGGGAGAATAAGCAAAAGAGGCTGCAAAACACTGTGGTCCGGTGGGTAGGTAACTTCTCTGTGAAGTGTATGGATCACGGGATTCTGCTTTTGGTGTAGCGTAATAATTTTCTTCCAGTGACCCTTAATTCAAAATGTAAATGCAATTCCCAGAACATGAATCTGAACAAAGGATTATTTTTGCTCTCCAACAGAGTTAGTGTCCTGTTCTCAATTTTCTGGTTTTGCTCATAAATTATCATTTTTTCCCCTGCAATGACAGCAGTTAAAAAAAAAATAAAATTTTCCCCTTCACAACAGCACAGAAGCAGTGGAAATTTCTATCTCTTAATCATTTTTATGGCTAATACATTAACTTGAGGTGTGAGTTGCATCAACTCATACTTCAAGGCAGCACTGCCTTTATTTTTTCCTTCAGGACAAACATGATTTTCCTCACATTTTCTGGGACCTTTTTTTTTTTTTTTTTTGTGTAACATCTTGTCTAAGCAGTTCAGTATTTGAAAGAAAATGAGACAGATATTTTTTTGAAAATAAGAGATGTTAGTGGTCTAAATGTTTATATGCTGAATAGAAATATTTTGAAACCTTAAATTTCAGGCACGTTTTTTGAAAAACTCATGGATGCTAGAACTCGAGATTTCATTCAGATTCAATAGGTTTAAGGTCTGCTTGCAGTGTAGTTTAAGGCCATCCCTACTGATGATATACCATTCGCTTCTAGTAAAATTAACGTGATGTGTCATTGACATTGGAAAACTTATTTTAACTTGTATTGAAGACACAAAAGAGCATTGGCTGTAAGGCAGCATTTATGTCTATAATTTGAATTATAATTTCTGAATAATAATAATATTAAAAGATAATATTTTTATGTGAAAAGATGTCTACTGTGTGTCCAATGTCATTGTGTAATAGCTTTATGGATATTCAGCAGCACAAAATAAATTGGAAAACTGTTTCTATCCTTTACTAAAAGTTCTTTCCCAGTATGTTTTTGTGCTAGGTAAATTGCACAGAAAAAAGATCCATCATAGATGGTTAATTTTAAAAACAATTCTGGCTCAGCTACTCCCTGAACTCCAAATCACTGGAGGTTGGGAGAAGAATCTGTAGAATATCACTCCATTCTTATTCTGTTCTTATACTCCCTGAAGAGTTCACTATTTGTCACTGTCAAAGGGACGATGCTGTGATTAATGTACCTTAGATAAGAATGGCTGTACCAAGAGATCTCAAAACTAAACAACCAGGAATTCTGGTTTAATTTTTCACCATAAATTTACCATACTAAAAATCTACAAGCAGCTAAAACCTCTGAAAGAGTTTGTGTCTCATAGTCATCACTGTTGTGTTGTCTTAATACATACTGTTACTCAGTCCACACGCTAGATCTCTTGTATGGGAAGATCTCAGTGTTTTATATCATTTGAAAATTCTTTAGATGCTCTACATCCACTCCCAGATGCAACTCAAAACCAGGCATCGTGGGAAAAAATATTTATTTATTTATTTAGTTTGGCTTGAGGATTATTTTGTGTGTGTGTAAGAACATATGCAAAAATACATAACCTATTTTAGATGCTTGTGTATTCATAATGGGAAGGAAACTAATAAACTATTTACAAACTAGGCCTTTACTGATCCAGAAGTGAAGATGGTTTTTTAACTGATACAGACAGCAAATAAACCTAAATTGTACTTCCAAGGGGGTGAGAGTGAAAGGAAGCTACTGAAATGAAGCTTCCTTTATCTGAACCTCACAGTTATTACCTTGTAATTGCCACTGAAAGAGAAATTCAGAGACTTTATACAAACATCTTAATTTGTTTTGGATAAATTAACAGAATGCTATTAGATTTTTCTGCTTGCCAGTCTACTGGCTTGTGATATGAATGTAAATAACACAAATTCTAGAGTTCTTTTTGTAAAAAGTCACCTTTACAGTCTCCTTTTGCTCTGTCAACTAGTGTGATTTGGGAGAGGGGAGAAGCCAGGAATCAAAATGAAAAATTATAGCAAGGGACTTTCTATTAGCAGCTTCTTCCCTCTCTCTGTTCACTCTTTTTGCAGAATAAATTTGATTACAGGAAAGTTTAAATTTAAAGTTGACTTATAGAAAGCAGGGCTTTTTGAAGCTCACCTTTCTGTGAATCAGTTTCTGCACATTGGAATGTACATTACTGCAGGGCATTAACCTTGAGATTGAAAACCCTGAAATGTCTGGAGATTTCATTCCTCACAAGCAAGAGTTTCATTATGATTAATTACTTGTATTACTGTGTCTCTGAGCACTAGTGATAGACTAGAACAACATTGTGGAAAGGAATGATCTCCCTTTACCAGTTTGAGGTAATTATTTTTTCCACCCAAAGCTGAGCTAAAACTGATGTCTTTGAGGAAATCAAAAAGCCAGTTACCAAAGTATCAAGGTTTACCAGATAATGCAAGGAAAAAACCCTACTCATTTGCAATTAAAATCATCAGATGTGACCAGAAAAGAAATGTCTAGAGGAACAATTACATGACCCAGTGATGAGGGTTGGAAGATTTGTATTTGGTTTATGACCTATGTAGACTGACTTTATCAACAGAACCTAAGAAGTTGTGTGAACAATATGTGTTTATTGAAGACCTTTAGAAAAGGATAATTGAAACACTTGGAATTGGAGATTAAAAAATTGAAACTGTCAAATGAAAGCTAAAAATGTTCCTCTGACTATATGAACGCTTGGTTCAGTGGACTCAGGAAAATTGTAAGAGAAAACTGTGCTCCATTCTTGGAGAAACTCGTTTCCCCTGTGTAGTGCTTATTCTGAAAAATAACTGTAGGTATTTGAATTCTGTAGTCTTTGAAGAATTGCATGTTATTGACTATAAAACCTGTTCAAGATACATTTGAATTTTATTCAAAGAAAAGTTGTAGCTGTTTCCTCTATGAAGAAACAGTGCATCAGTCTTGCATGCAGAATAAAGTTGCAACTAATTAGAAGAGATTCAGTAAAATGGATTATTTTCATTGGGGGTGGGGGGTGGGGAATCTATTTGTAAGTTGTTAACACTGTTTTCTTACTTTTCTGGGAAGTTTTCCCTAACAGATGAGAGAGAAATTATTTTTGCCTCACCTGTAAGTGAAAAAGAGAACTAGTGTCATCCTCGCTGCACTTGAATTGCTTAGTAGTTCTTAAAAGAAAAGCAAATCAAAACAAAGGAAGTGTACCTGCTAATCAGACTAATGAAAAGTGTCCATGCATAGTACAAATATTAGGAAATAATCTGTACATGCCCATATATTCTGATGGTTCATAATGATTTTTTGCTAATCAAAGCATAGGAATATGCGTCATACGTGACTGAGAAAACCCATCCAGTGCAACAAATTTGTGAAATGGATGCCAAGATATCTTCTGTCAATGTAAACTGAATTAAATAATCATGAAAAACCAGTATATATCATCAGTGCTCAGTACCCCACACCTTTTGACTAGCTGAGATAATTGTATTTTAGTATAACTGAATGTATTTTTATGAGTGAACTTTGAACATCTGTCTTTAATAGTGAGTTGACTGTTCTATCCATCAGCTCATTTTGGAAAGTTAAATCTGCATAACCTTTCTTTGAGTAGTTCAGGTGTTCTTTGCCAACTCTTTAAACACTTGATATACTTCAGAGGTTTGTGGGTCTGCTTCTGCTTTCTATCCCTGTTAACAATAGGAATCATTCCTCAGAATTACATTCTTATGCCAACATATGTTCATAATTCCTATTTAAGTGAATGGGGGTTTTCTGTACAAATAATAACTTACATAACCCATGAAGTTGTGAATAATCCCCTTGTTGTAAAAAGAAGTAAACAAACCAGAGAGTCAGCAATAATTATTCCTATGAATAATTCACTGACACCTAGCTTTCAGCCAAACTTGTATAAGTAATCCTTTTCTCTTTCCCACCTGCTGCTGAAAAGAGGTTCCAGGTAATGCTTTTATTTTGCTATCTAGTCCGTATTTTACTGTCATCTCCCATTTTCCTTAAAAAGCCATCTGTCATGTTGGGTGCTATACCACGCACCTATCACTCTTCAGAATATTGCTGTATTATAAATTTTAAATGTTTATCTATTCATTGTAGTTCTGTTCCATACAATAAGCTAGATATTTATTGATGACATGGACCATTACACTTACCTATGTTTTACAAATAGTATTTTTCAATAATATTTATTAAAATATAGAGATCAGCATTCTCTCCAGTCCCTAGTGGACAGCTATCCACCTCAAAAGTGGATTGTTTTACATTTAATGGGACAGCAGCACCTGACAAGTCAAGGTGTATAAGTTGCTAGATTCTTTAAGTATTAGATTACCTATATCTGCATTAGTGCCTACAAAATGGCACTTACTTACGTATGTCGTGTGAGTAATAATTATGACTAATTGTGGTCAAGAAGCAGTATTTAAAAACTACCAGGTTTCATTATCTTCTAGTGGAAATCAGACCTCTACAGTTTCACAAGTGACTTTGAAAACCTTACCAAGAGTAAATTGAAAGAACTCCTTACTTTTAAAATTAATTCTGTACTTCATACTTACCAACACTTTTTGGGGAGGGCAATAAAAGTCACTTCATGCTGAAGGCTAGTGCAAAATCAATTGATGAGGTCTCTGCAAGACCTGCAAAGCATGAGGTGCAGCTATGGTGACCCTCACAGGAAGGGACATTTTCTTTTGTACCAACAGCTGTAATTTGCTTTATGAAATCATGCCCAAAGTAATGCTTGGAGTTTTAAAACAGAAATAAATGTTGTAATTGGCATTGTCATAAGTTACCATGGAACTCAAAGAATTGATGGCAGTTTATATTAACCACAGAAGACCACCCCTTCTTCTGTGAATAACTTTAGAAGTAAACAAACCAGAGAGCCAGAAATAATTATTCCTATGAATAATTCAGTATTATTACTCACTATCAGTAATAAAAATAGAGTGAAATACAATATCATCATGCAAGACAACATGGGTAGCAATATCATTAATATTGAAACTATGTCTAAAACCATGAAAAAGGGATTTCTTTGTATCACAAACTACTTCAAAATGCTTGTGTTCAATTTTGTGGTCTCATAACAAGAAATATTAAAATATATATTCTATTTTCATGTTGAAAACAAAGTGCCAATATTAAGGTATTTATTTCCCGTATGATAGATGGCTGGAACTCTCCTTCCACATGTTCAAACTGACCCCATCCGTATATGCATTCACCCCAGAATGTCATTCATGCTCTCCTTCCCATCTTTTATACACAGTTTTTGAGCATGCAGCCAGTTATATGTGCAGGTGTATGACCACTGTGTGTTGTATATGCCATGAGTCACTTCCCTGCACATTAAATAGGAAATGAAAAATATCTGCAGCTTTTGCACCTTTAAAAAAAGCACTTGGAAAATGTATTCCCGTGTCCTTCAACATTCCT